AGGCTTTTCCTTAATCGCTCTAGCTCTCGTCAGCATAAACTCCACTCTCTGCCTTTAGAAACCGCTATACTTATTTCTTACAAGTATTACTAAGTATCTTACAGTGTTCTGTACAGTCCTCTTAGCACGGGTAGTCCTGATAGAAAATAGCGTTGGAAGATAATAGTTAGATGCAATAATGTCTAACTTCATGTAATAGTTGTTCTTTTTATGGATTCTATCTGCTGTATACGATAAACAGAAGAACGCTGTTAAAACACCTTTTTGACAAGTCTCCGTATCGACAATCCAGAGCTTTTCTTTATTCTGTCGTGCTGTTGTGCAGAGCTCTCTCCTACTGTTGAAGTTCCGGCTGTCCTTCTTTCTTTCCTAGGAGAGGGCAAAGCGTCCATCTTCGCGGCTAAGCTCATGCACCTCTCACTCGACTGACCAAGCACACTAGTTAAGCCAGAAAGAGCCCTTGCGTACACCGCTCGAGCTTTGGCGACATCGGCTTGCTTCGCATAGAGATTGCCCATGTTCTCTAAGGTATTGAGTGCTGGCATGTACTGCTGGACGCGAACACTGCCGAGTGCCTCGTACCCTTGCAGCGCCTGCTCGTACATCTGCTCTGATTCATCCAGCCTGCCTTGCTTCGCGTAAAGGAGACCTATGTTGCTGATCGTCTGTAGTGTCGAGGAGTGGCTGGGCCCAAGTTTCTCTTCATATCCTCGCAGCGCCTGCTTGTACATCTTCTCTGCCTCTACTAGCTTGCCTTGTTCTACGTATAGAATGCCCAGGTTGTTGATTGTCTCGATTGTTGATGTATGATTGGGACCGAACGCCTCTTTTCTCCAATGCAATGCTTGTTCTAACAGTATCTCGGACTCTGCTAGCTTGCCTTGGTCCTTGTAGAGAATTCCAAGATTGTTAATTGTATTTAGTGTTGACGGATGCTTGTGACCGAAAACATCCTTGTACCCTTGCAGCACGCGCTCTAACATCCTCTCTGCATCTACCAGCCTACCTTGACAATGATAGAGATTGCCTAGATTGCCGACAGTCTGTAACGTCAAATGATGCTTAGATCCTAAGACCTCTTCTTTCCCATTAAGCGCCTTTTCGTAAAGCTCTTCTGCCTTCGTTAAATTGCTTTGGTTCATGTAGACCACACCAAGGCTATCGATTGTTTGGAGTGTTGACAGGTGCTTAGATCCTAGAGCATCTTCTTTTCTCTTTAGCACCTGTTTGTGTATCCGTTCTGCATCTACCAGCCTGCCTTGATTCTTGTAGAGAATGCCTAGATTGTTGGCCGTTCGTAGTGTCGTTTTGTGGTTGGATCCTAGTACCTGTTCAAATCCTTGCAGTGCTTCTATGTACATCCGCTCTGCGTCTGCAAATCTACTACGTTCTTTATACAGAAGCCCTAGGTTGGCCACTGTTTTGAATGTTAATAAGTTCCCAGGTTCCAAGGCCTTATACTCTTCCAGGGCCCGCTTCAACATCTGCTCAGCCTCGATAAATTTGCCTTGCTCTTTAAAGAGCATACCAATGTTTCCTACCGTGGCCAATGTTGACAAGTGCTTCGGGCCCAATGTCTCCTCTTTTCCTCGCAGTGCTCGCTTGTACATTTGCTCTGCTTCGCTTAGCTTGCCTTGTCTCGCATAGAGAAGGCCCAGGAGATGCACAGCATCAAGAAGAGTCTTTTGCTCTTTCTCTCCATAGATGTCTCCATCGTTATCGCCTTCAGCTCTCCCACGCCAAACTGTCTCGCCCTCAACTATCTGGCTAGAGCAAGCCTGCGCGTGCGGAAGAAGTCGCCGTTGTAGGACGAAGGAGTCTTGGGTCTCGCTCTCCGGCACAGTCTGACCAACAGCCACCACCGCTAGTCGACTTAGCTCTGTTGCGAAGTGCCTGCCTTGCGAGTGATGCGCCCACTTATGCACTACTGGATGTACTGTGTAGCTCCCAACATCTTGCACCTGTTCCACTAGGGAGTAGTTGCACAGCAGCTGCATCGCTCTGCTAAACTCAATCTCGCTGCTCGCAATGCTCCCCACCCACCCTGCCAGCATCGCAGTAGCTATAACAGAACGCTCATGTATTGCAGCAAATAAGCCATGCCATAAGTCTTTGTTGTCTAGAAACGACCATAGCAGCAGTAAGTTGGCCGTAGCTTCGTGCTTATTGCGGATCGCCTGGTATGAAACGGCCCACGTCGTCCACACGCTGCGCTCTGGGTAGTCCTGGAGCGGCGCATTGGCTAGGTGGCCCGACTCCATTAGCTCGCTCCATTGTTTCTTGTAGAACCTCAGGTATGTCGCCATTCCTACTCCGCTCTCCTGGAGGTATGCACCCGCCTGCGCAATGGCGAGCGGCAGGCCGTCTAGTAACACAAGTAGCCGCTCGCCCACAGCTGCATCTACAGTTGCATTGTTAGCTTCGTCCGGCTGCGGCTATACATCAGCCACTCTTAGCTTACCGTGCTTCCTGTTGTACCAGCTCTCCAAGATGGCCTGTCCCTGCGCTGTGGACACCTTACCCAGTTGCTGCGAGTCTCCCAGCTGCTCTAACCGTGCCAATCGAGTCGTCACCAGCACTGACCCGTGGTCTGCGCCCGACAGGTAGCGCTCCACGTTGTACGCATTAGGGTCACCCCCTTGCGCTGTGTGCTCTCGGTCGACGTTGTCGAAGATAAGCAGCCAAGCCGTGTTGTCAGGCCGTGCAAGCCAAGTCATAACGTCCTTGACTACCACATCGATGTCAGCGCTGGCACCTGCTGTGTATTGCCTGCTAGTATCAGGGATCTGGCCTGTCGGGATCCTGCCCGCGCAGCTCGCGATGCTGCGCTTAAGGGTGTCTTCACTGTGCCCGTCCAGCCAGAACACCGAGCTGAAGCGGCGGTGGTATCGCCGCGCAAACTCTACCGCCAACTGTGTCTTGCCCATCCCGCCGAGGCCACGTAGCACATGTATCTTCTGGCGCTGGCGCTGGTTCTGTCTTGGTTGCGGCAGCAACACACGTTCGAGTTCCGCCATTTCTGCTGGCCTGTCCACAAAATGGCGCGCTTTTGGGACGCCCTTAAGACTGAGGACGGTTTGGTATTCTCCAAAGTCTAGATACACTTTAGCTGTTGGCACCAAACAAAAACAACGCTCACACTAACACTCTCTGCCAGCGATGCTGCCCGCGCATGCCTGCATCTGCTGGTGCACCTCCTGCGAGCTAACGTATCGTCGCGTCGTTGCCGCCATCTCCTTGACCTTCTTCGCCTCCTCCAGCCCAATGTCTTCTAGTCCTCGCACCACGTTGAACCGGTAGTACCGCCCCGTGCTGTCTAGCAGCCCCCGCTCGCGCCGGAACCGCTCTGCCGTCTGCTCCGTCTCCGTGGCTATCGCAGCCAGCGTCTCGCCAATGTGNCTGCTCGAGGATCATAAGAGAGGACAGGCCGCGCACGCCGCCGCCGTCGAGGGCGAGCAGGCGCAGGTCGCTGCCAGGCATCGTGTGTGCGCGTCAAGTGGCAGAAGGTAGATGAGAGATGGAGGAGCACTGAGGCGGAGTTGTAGGACGGAGTATGGTGTATATTCTATATGCTGGGGCGGTCGCCTTAAGCTGGCATTGCGGCGCAGTGTTTACGCCGCCAGCGTATGAGGTATCGCGTACGGTTGAGGCGCGTGTCTCTGCCGTCTCCGCCATCCTGCAGCCTGCCGGTATGCATGATTGGTGGAGAGAAGTGGGCAAGGCGGAACGGCGAGTGGACGCGGAGTTGGCTGGCTGCATGTCGCTTGTTGCTTGTCGTTGCCGTCACCTGGCGCTTGTCAGTAGGCTCTGCCCAATATGATGCGCTCCGAGCTGTCTATTAACGTCTTATTAGAGTTGTCTTGAGCTAATGCACTCCACCTGTCCGGTTCCTAGGATCATGTCCAGGCTTTGCGTCGATCGTGGCACTGCTGCTTGGACTAGGACCCTCCCCGTAGCACTTTGCATAACGCCAATCTGATCGACGCAGGCTCCTAGCGCGGTTCTTCGTACTCACCGTAGCCTTGCTACAGCCTTGCGGTTAGAAAAATAGTTACTTAAAAAGTCGCGACATCTCCTCGCTAACTCTATGCTGAGAGATCACGTATCGCGGGCGTGCGTCATGCTGCTGCTACACAGCTCTCCACTCGCGTTCTGCCATTGGTGGATCACGTTAACGCGGGTTAGCTCGTCACGAGTGGTTTCTATGCGACTCCCCCTCTCGCTCTGCTCTATGAGAGTCAGCGCTCGTACTCCAGCTTTGCTATACGCACCACATCGTCGTACTGTACAGCGTTGCACAACGTCTAGTCCTAGCGAAAGCACTGTATTTGAGTATAATCTGAACTGTATCTCTCTAGTCGATTGATGCAAGTACAACCCCGTAGCATACTAGCCCGAGCAGCCTCCCAATGGCGACCAGTTCCTTCTCCTCTCAAACGGACCCTGAATACGACGCAACTCAGCAGTACGATACGCCGAGCGATATACAATCGGTGGAGGCACGCTGGATTGCGGCGCTAGAGACCCCTTCCGTGCCTGACTATGTAGGGCCGGGTCGCGCGACGCGTTATCGTACTGTAGATGACGGCCAGGAAGCGACAACTTCGGATTTAGGCAAGCCCAGATTCCTCCCGCTGGCCGAATGGGACGAGCACAATAGCTATGACGAGGACATACCAAGCTGGCTGCGCTACTCGATCGAGTGGAAAGTGGTTGTGAACAATAAAACGCTTTCCAAGGACACGGAGCAAGACGTAGTTCTAGCCCCTTCTGTATACTGGCGTTTCTGCCTCAGGGCTAAGGTGGACAAGCTCCTGAGCAGAAAGCTGCCACACGGCAAACATGTAAAGTGTGATGACACCAGCGTCGTCGCGTCTGTGAACGATCGTTCAGAGCGCGACTTGACTAAGAGGTTCGATGACATAGATATTGACTGGCCGCTAGTAGAGAGACAGCTGATGCGGTGGGGTGAGCTACTCCGCTGTGGTAAGAAGCTCCGAGTAGACCTATCATTCAACTATGTAGAGTTGGCACCACCATCAGCAGCCGCGAGAAACCGTGGCAACAAGCGAGGCTCATCCGCTACACAGAACATGCTTGCTGACCGGGCTTCACAGCTCGATGCAGAGCAGGAGACTAGTGCAAGCGCTTCCGTGTGGCGCGAAGTGTATGCTTTGATGCGGTGTCCTGGGCCGCCATGCAACCGCGGGCCGCATTGCTGGCGTGATCCTCTTGGGAAGAAGCATTACAAGCTGCAGACGCACCATCTGAAGGCTTTGATTCAACTTGTGGAGGAGGGCCATATTCTGCATACTCATAATGACGTTCCCGAGGATATCCGTGAGCAGCTATACGCCGAAGAAGAGCAACGGCGCGATCGACAAGCTGCAGGCGGGGGTATTTCTAGAACGAACATCCCGCCGATTACGATCACAAACGTCTTGCCCCAACACCCTAGCCAGTTTCCCTCTACAATGTCTACCTCTAGTGCACTATATTCCGAGGAACGAGCTTCTAGACGCGTAGATCTAGGCATTCCTGGTCCCCGTGATTTAGCTGTTGTAGCCTACAGTCGATGGCAGCAATCCAACGTCGCCGACGAGGCACAGAAGATGGAGTATCAGAAAGCTTGTGATATTACCTTACAAGAGATGCTCGACTTGGAGCAGCTGCACGAGGATCAAGACTACGACTTCTTTATCCAGAATGGGGTCAAGAGAGGCGTAGCACGTCGATATGTCAGCGACATTGGAAGATGGGTAGAGCTGCACAAGTCAACATACGACAGAGAGCAGGAGAGCTAGCGTAGAGGGTCTTATGGTATAAATACGCTGACAGTGTTCTCGTTGATTGCAGTTAGATTTTATAGTTATGTATTCGGCGCGTAGGGCCCCGCTTATAGATTTACTAGACTTATTAACTAGTTACTCTATTCTTAGCCTGTCTCAACAGTGACTCCTGCATGTCGAAAATGTGCTCTTGCATTGTCTACCCTGCCGCCCGCAACGCTGATGCACCAGTCAAGAAAAGCCCCAAAGTCCTGGGCAGGGTTGCTTTCGTATTCTATCCAGTTTCGTCTAATAAAACGCTTCAAGTCTCCGAAGAACTCTTCGATAGGGTTGAGATCTGGCGAGTAGGGCGGCAAAAACACGAGCTTCACGCCTGCACGGAGACATAGCCCCTTGACCCCCTCGCTATGGTGGAACGAGGCGTTGTCCATGACCAGCACGGACTTGGGTTCTGGCCAGCGCCCGCAGTGGTGGAGAAGCTGTTCGATGAAGTCTTCGAAGATGGCGCTGTCTGTCGATCCCTGGAACACGCAATGGAAGAGCACACCGTCTTGGGTGTACGCGGGTAGGATCTGATGCCTACGGCTGCGGTGGAACTGCGCTACCTGCACCGCAGCAACACCGAGCGGTGACCAGCCGGTGCGTCTGAAGCCGATGCGTTTATCGCACCCTGACTCATCTACGTAGACGAGGTGATGAGACTGGAAGGCAGAGAGGTTATGGAGATAGTAGTCCCGGAGATCAGCATTTCGCTCTTTAGCAATCTGACGGGTGGCTTTCTTCGTCCAGCCTATCGATGCTAGGGCACGGCTTATAGCAGAGTTATTCACTAGAATCTCAAACTCATCGTTTAAGAATAGGGCCATTTCATCCTGGTACATGCCCGGCTTCTCCACCAGCCTCTCTCTTAAGGCATCTAGCATCACTGGTGTTATCTGTCGACGTCGTCCGCCCCCGTTGAAGGGTGCCCTAGAGGATCCGAAGCAGCGGAGGTTAGACCGGATGTTGCGAATCGTGCGGTCGCTGCAACCGGCTGCGGCGGCCATGTCGACCGCTTTGAGGGATCTACTGGCGATCATGTCCCTGATCATATCGTGCTGCGATACGGCAAGTCTAGGCGCCATGACGAGGACGTGTCCAGTGGCGGCAGAGAGCATTGCAACTTGCGCCGTACGTGATGTTGCGACAGCCTTGGCGAAACGGAAGAACATCGAAGCTTCAGCATGCGAGCGTTCATGTTACGTACAGTACAGGTACAGCACAACAGTTACATCCATCGAACTTTGTGACACCCGAACTTGTAGATGGGTCTGGCGCGCGACATATCGATCTGCGTGTATCCGTTCTATGTAATACCCATCTGCAGGCTGGCTAGCACAACGCAGCTACACAACACCCGTGAGGTGGTACTAATATGTAAACAGGGCCAGGGGCACAGGGAGAAGCGGCAAGCGACGAGCGAACCCCGCCAGTATCAACCTGCACGAGCCGTTCCGCCCCTCCCACTCCCCTCCACCAACCATGCATGCCGGCAGCTGCAGCACCTCGAGACGGCAAAGACGCGCGCCCCCTCAGCCGCACACGATACCTCAGCCGCACGCGCTGGGGGCGGAAACGCTGCACCCCAGACTGCCCGCTCGAGGCGACCGCCAGCATATAGAATAGACACCATGCCCCGTCCCGCGACTCCACCTTAGTACTCCGCCGTCTCTCTTCTACCCTCTGCCACTTGACGCGCACACACCATGCCCGGCAGCGACCTGCGCCTGCTCGCCCTCGACGGCGGCGGCGTGCGCGGTCTGTCCGCCCTGATGATCCTCGAGCAGCTGATGGAGGCTGTCAACCCGGACGCGCCGCCAAAGCCGTGCGACTACTTT